CGACAATGAGTGATGTCACTGATCAGCACCCAAAAAAAGTCCACGAATATTAATAACAATACATTTTTACTCTGTCAAAGCTTGGCTAATCAAGTCGGAGGACAAGGAGAGCTGCTCTGTGATATAAAATGTGGCGTTCAATGACCAGAAGAAGCATTGTTTTGTATGAGACAACAATGCCCCGTGAATTGTCTTTTAGCAAGTATTTTCACTGCATTTACCAGCAATGGGAGTTTTAAAGCAGAATGAATGCTGCTTATTTTATTTCCTTTCCATTCTGCTTCACCAGCACTCTTCTAATTTTACAAACGCCATTTGTTTTCGTGATGTCTGATGATGTCACTTCCTACTGAATTTCAACCAATCAGGATGAGTTAACCAAAAGTTCGGCTCAGTGACTCTGCCAGGCCATTTCAATTACCTTCCCCTGTTCAGGAACTCCATTGGTTCCTAAGAATGGCCAAGAAAGTGGTCCTTTTAGCCAGATCACTGAAGCATGAACACACACATGCCGGGAATTTCTGGTAAAATTACCCTGAAGTTCTAATAATGGAAACACACCTAATATCATGCTTTCCACACAAAGACTTTAATTCTAGGGTCATAATTTTCTACTTTATCAGAATTTCTAAAACATGTTTATTTTTGTTATTTATTGTTTTTGAGGGTAGAATGCCTTCTCCAGGTCAAGAAAGAGGTCCTGCTTCAAGTGAACGGGTTTAAGTATCTCAGGGTCTTGACAAGTGAGGGAAAGATGGAGCACGAGATCATTAGGCAGATTAGTGCTGCATCTGCAGTGATGCGGGTGTTGTGCCAGTCTATTGTGGTGATGAGAGAGCTGAGCTGCAAGGTGAAGTTCTCGATTTACCAGTCGATCTACGTTCCTATCCTCACCTGTGGTCACGAGCTTTGGGTAGTGAGCAAAAGAACAAGATTGTGGATACAAGTGGTGGAAATTAGTTTTCTCTGCAGGGTCTCTGGGCTCTTCCTTAGAGATAGGTTGAGAAGCTCGGTCTTCCTGAAGTGGCTCGGAATAGATACGCAGCTCCTCCTCATCGAGAGGAGGCAGTTAAGGTGGCTCGGGCTTCTGATTAGAATGCCTCCTCGATGCCTCCCTGCTGAGGTTATCCAGCACATCCAAACGGGAGGAGACCCAAGGGAAGACCCAGGACATGCTGAAGGGACTATGTTTCTTGACTAGCCAGGGAACGCCTTGGAACTCCCCCGGGGGGACTGGCCCAGGTGGATGGGGAGAGGGAAGTCTGGGCATCTCAGCTTAGGCTGCTGCCCCCATGACCCGACTCCGGATAAGAGGACAAAAATGGAGGGATGGATGTTCTTTGAGATAAGTTGGAATCGGCCAAAATCCTTCTAAGAAGGTCTTAATTAGAATATATAGCTTGACTCCCACCACCACATATGTTTTCTAATTTTTCTTGACAAATAGTGTCATTTGTACTCCACAAAAAAATCATACAGATAGAGAGGATCTGAAAAAATAGCATGTTCGCAATAATTTGATGTTTTATCTATATAAATTAAAAATCACCTATTTTTCCTGCTATGTTTGATAATCTTGCTATCTCTGAACTGTTTTTAGAACCGGCCGGGCTCCTCAATAATATGTAATGAATAAAGCTTCCCAAAACATTAGATCACATTTCCTGCTGCAGGAACTTGTGGTTTAGGGATAATGAATAGTTTCATATGAAATGTGCCTCAGCTAAAACCTACACACATGCGGAAATCGCCATGACGATTGTGTCACAATGACTGGACGCTGAAACCGTCTCCAAGTGTGTGCCAAATCAAAAAAGGAGAGGCGAAAAAGACCTCCAGCATCCATAAGAGATACTCTCACTCACCTCAAAAACATGTCGGCCAGTCCGTGGCGAGCTGCTGCACACATTTTAAAAGCTTAGGTCTAGCCAGATGCTAACATCAACACGGCAGTGGTGGACTTTAAAACTACGAGGCCTGGATGGCGGCAGGCAGCTTGATGTGACACTGACATACAAAAGCATTGCTCTGGGCCACAAATACGTACTTTTCATTGGGTTTGCTGAGTGGCAGCTGAGCATCTGGCACATGCTTCTTAAGAAAATGTTAAACCGCTACTTTAAAAACATACATACGTATATTTTTCTGCTTTTTCACAGTGTAACGCTGGACGTTGCCGATTCAAAGGCATCCCTTCACACAGCACAGACTTAAGACCACAGTCCTCCAGAGACCAAGGCCTCTCACATCTGCACAGCTCTGAAGCAGCTGGATGTAACTCAAAAATAATTGCTTCCTCTACAGTGTCCAGGAAAACATGATGCGAATGCCATGTTCATGACTCCTCTCCACAGGGAAGGCAACTAAATCAACATTTTAGAGCCATTTATCATCAGCAAACTTTGTAGTCGTTGTTTGGACTGTGTGAAAGCAATGATAGGCGGTTTGATGCTGGTAGGTAGTAGAGTTATATTGGCAAAGACCTGAGAACACAAACATGACGCTGAAAACTCACAATCTAACCCTAATCTTTGAAGCGTGGAATAGAAGCAGCTTGTTTGCCATATTTTGATAAGAACCATTTGAAACATGCCGAGCACATGTAGAGTAAAAGATTAGGCAGAAAATAAACTTTGAGCATTTAAAAAAGGACTTGAAAAGGTTGTGACTGTTTTCAACGTGGACGCTAAACCAACTCAAAACCCTAAATCTACTTCAGAAGAAAGCCTTAAGAATTATAATCACATGATTATCTTCCTATGAATGAAATATTTATCAAATGGCATGCTTTAAATTCTCATGACTGACTAGAACTCAGGATGGTTTTGTAGCAGAATGAAATAACTGTTTTCTGACCTAAAGGTCAGGTCTGCTCTGCTCAAGCTGGGGAGACACAGTCTCCCTCAACAACCTAATCTCTCAAGGTCTCATGCCTCTCGTTCTAAACTGTTTCACTTCCTTTCCGGCTCAAGACCAAGACAGAAGACTCTACTCTTCTTTTTAATAAATAATTAAATAATGACAGTTAGTCAAATAATCATGTGAAGCCTAATGTCAATCAATCTGTGAAATGAGAATATTAATTACTTGATATTATAATACTGTAATCAGTAGTTTTGTACAAGAATTAACTTGGTACAGAAGCACTAGACACTCCGATCACAAGTAATGTTAAAATCACATGACACATTCCTTTCGTCTCTCCAATCAGAGCTTTCCTTTCTGACGCGTGTCATGGTCTGTGCGGTGTTTATTTTTGTTGTCAAATTCTGATTCGACCACAAATCAAAACATCTGAATTATAAAACTAATTCCCACGTCACCCTTAACTCAGTTCAAACGTTCTAGAGTTTCGAGCCGGCCACTCGTAACTTTTTAACCACAAAGAACCTTGACAAGCTGGATAATAAAACCTGCTGCAAGCTACATCTGAATGCAACGCAGTTCAGAGTAAAGCTGAACTCACTGACCCTTCAGGATCCCGCCGACGCTGTCAAACACCTGTCGCTTACCTGGAGGCAATCCCAAGACTAGTCTGTCGTACCGTATGCGGTTTCATCGGCTCCGGTACCAAAGGGGGGTCCGAGGACCTGGCATTCTGGATCTACAACGGAGGTCTCCACCAAGGGTATGTGGGGCAGCAAGATAGCGTCTGAATGTGGTTTGAAACTCCGACTGTAGTTTAGTGCAAACCATTCTCTCCCACACAGAACTAATGCTTCGCCGGAAACGAGAGTTCTGATAACAACATTCCACATTACACATCCATCTTGCCTCATTCACACCTAGATCCATTCATCACACAGAGTGTTTAGAGTTAGCCTTGTTTTAAATTGTTTAGAAATAAATCTTCTTAAACTTTAAAACTTGTTTCTCTCTCTCTTTTGACTGGGTTAATACAAAGTGTTACCCAATCCCTGCAATAAAAAGTTCCGATCTTCTGTTTAAAGTAATATTCAAAGATCCATCAAATTGATTTCATATTTGCTATGGAATCTCACATTTTATGGGTCATTACTTAAAGAGCAAGTCACCACCTACCAGATGCTTACTCAACTCCCACTTCCTGTTTGAAAAATGCAACAAATGCTGTTGCCTAGCAGACCCAGAGGGTGGAGCCGCTAACAAATACACATTCACGACATTGTGACATCATAATGTACCATCTAACATCATAGTGTACCTCTTAGCCAATAGCGACAGCAGATTTTAATTCAAATGCAGTGCTGAGTTTTTACATGACGACGGTGCAACACTGACAGTTTTAGGCAGAATATTTAAATTTTAACTAAGATGCACTAAAGTGCCGAATTATTGACTACACGTGTCTGCAGCACGATCAGACACTCATTTATATAGTTTATCAGCAAAAAAATGTTGATTTGGAGTGACTTGCTCTTTAAGATGTAACTAACGAATCATTACAATTTTTACAGTGCATAAAGCTCATAATAAACTCCTAACATTAACTAAAGTGGTTTGAAATAAAAAAAAATTGTATAAATTAAAATAGAATTGTTTATTTTATTATTTGTTTTTTCATGGAGGGGGTGTTACTGATAAATGAGATGATGCAATTTTGGTTTTGTCTGATTTTGATTTTGCACACAGACCTCTGGTACAATGTTGTAAGAAATAATTAGTGTTGTTAAAGTAAACAGAGTAAATCATTAGAGAAAGGGTGGGATTACAGTTTGGGCTTCATCCTGCTCTTTTTGTCAAAATTAGTAAGAGTTAAATAGTAATGAGTAAGGACACTCTCATCACCATGTGGTCGGAAATCAGGCCCGATCATGTGATATTCAAAGGATCCAAAGGACACGATGACTGCAACAGCCTGAGCAGGACTTGAACCTGCAACCCTCAAGTTACTGGGCGGGCACTAAACTCATCTGCCACCACCTCCCTACCAACCTGTCTGTGTGAAGGAGAAAACCACACATCAACTACAACTAACCATCAGGAACTCCCTGTGACTATTGGGTGTGATGGTTGCGTACCGTGAGCGAAGCGGTGAACCCAGTAGTAGCAGAAGTCCACTCCTAAGAAGGCAAACCACCAAGTCCAGGCTGAGTCCCAGGGCAGCTCAACCAGGCGGAAGTGGTCCCACACATACATGTAAGCCGACAGCTCACACCCTCTCATCAGAAGCCTGAAGGAAAGAGGGGGACAGTTACATCTCTTTCTGTAAATCAGTCCATAGACTCTTTAATTCACTTTTCACCAAGAGGACACGCAAGAATTCTTATGTTTGTCTCTTCTTTAAAGTTAGACTAATGTAGAAATGTAGAAAAGTCTAGAGCCCAAAAAGATTGCTCCTCAAAAGGAGTGCACTAAGGAGGATACGATCAGTGGCGTGTCTAGAAAATCTCTGTTGGGGTGGCCAAGTAGGGGCACAAATTTGGACATGGGTGGCACAGGCAAATGGCCCATAACCTCGAAAAAATTAAAAACATTATTTGTAATCTACTATAAACAAAAATAAAGGCAAAGCACAATACCAGTGGTGAAATTTTCGTCTTCGTCTTCCTCCGCTTATCCGGGTCCGGGTCGCGGGGGCAGCATCCCAATTAGGGAGCTCCAGGCCGTCCTCTCCCCGGCCTTGTCCACCAGCTCCTCCGGCAGGACCCCAAGGCTTTCCCGGACCAGATTGGAGATGTAACCTCTCCAACGTGTCCTGGGTCGACCCGGGGGCCTTCTGCCGGCAGGACATGCCCGAAACACCTCCCCGGGGAGGCGTCCAGGAGTCATCCTGACCAGATGCCCAAACCACCTCAACTGACTCCTCTCGATATGGAGGAGCAGCGGTTCTACTCCGAGTCCCTCCCGAATGTCCGAGCTCCTCACCCTATCTCTAAGGCTGAGCCCGGCCACCCTACGGAGGAAACTCATTTCGGCCGCTTGTATCCGCGATCTCGTTCTTTCGGTCATTACCCAAAGCTCATGACCATAGGTGAGGATTGGGACGTAGATCGACCGGTAAATCGAGAGCCTGACTTTCTGGCTCAGCTCCCTCTTCACCATGACAGATCGGCTCAGCGTCCGCATCACTGCAGACGCCGAACCAATCCGCCTGTCGATCTCCCGATCCCTCCTACCCTCACTCGTGAACAACTCGGGGGAGAGGTCCTACCTCAAGTGGAGGAGCTTGGTGAAATTTTATTAATAGTTATCTATGGCATGTTCTATAAATAAATGCATAAATGTATTACCATTAAATTGGGATATTCTTTAACATTGTAAAGTCAGAATTTTTCAGAAAAGAAACCTAAGTTCAAGGCTGTCAGAAGCATTTAAAATGGGGGAGGGTGCACTTTGGATGAAGTAGATTTCATTTCAAGCACCATAAATTATTTAGATGTTTCTTTTATGTTTAAATTTACAGAGTTTAGCCAGAACTTCTGGCAGCATGTCGTTACAAGTGATTATTTCTCTGTTCTGTTATTCACAGCTCTCTGTCTTCCTATACACTCCTCTGTGTCCCGGAAGAGGACCAGAGACTGATCAGCAGGAGCTCAGGAGGAAGAGCGGGTTGCCTCCTGATCGGAGGACTGATGGATCGATCCCAGCTCCTGTGAGAGGTATTCTGCTGTTGTGTCCTTGGGCAAGACACTTCACCCAACTTGCCTGTGTTGGTTGTCAGGGGGGCCGATGGCAGTCTCACCTCTGTCAGACCGCCCCAGGGCCGCTGTGGCTACATAGTAGCTTACCATCACTCACCCATCGGGTGACTTCTGGTCTGCAACTTTTCATTTATTTAGATTTTTAAATGCAACTTTTTAAAACACATTTTACTTATGACTTTCTCCACATATTTGCAACAATATCACCAATTACTTTAATACAAGTTTTTAAAGAACCAACGGAGTGAGGCAAGTTTTGCTCACTGCAGAAATAAAAGCACACACGGAGCATCAACAGTCAAATGAAGCCACTCCCCACCACTCCTCTGTGTGAGCGTGACCGTCAGAAGGCTGAGCAAATAACCTGTGAAATAAGCCTTTCTCTGTGGTGGACAACACCAGGTTCTGGCCACAATAAATTAATAAATACATAAATCAACTCAACACGCAAAGTTGTGAGAATTATTATATATTTTTTATTTATTTATTTATTTGTTTTGTTTTTTGCTTTTTTGAACTTGTGACAGTCTGTTGAGTTTTAACGTTTTAAATCTAGATTGTTACTGACAGCAGCTACATTTAAGTTTCAGTTTCCCTTCTGACTGAATCACTGCTGCAGCACGTTGGTGTAGGTGTCATCTTGGACATGATCATGCTGAGCGTTTTAATTGAAAAACAGCTGGGCGTTTCTAGTTATGTTGAAGACATTTTGCCTCTCATCCTTGAGGCCTTATCCGATCCAACACGTTGGTTGTGAGCAGGAAGCCTGTGGTCGTGGTCAGAAGCAAACACACTGAGGGTTAGTCTAAATTAAGGTGATGTTACTGCTCAGAGAATTAAAGTTTATGTTGAAGTTCAGATTATTTCATCAAGTAAGACCTATGGTTGGCTGGCTCATTTAAAACATGTAACGATTTAGGATTCTGCCTCTTGAAAGACTTGGAATCGGGAATCGATTGAAACCAGAATCAAAAGAAAGAATTGGAATCGTTCAAATTCAAACAATGTCCAACCCTACCAATAAATTGATTAAATTAATGAGAATTATCATCCAAATTTACATGTTCATGTTTCCTGCAGGATTAAACATGTGTAACATTATCTAAAATTGTTTAACTTTTTTGTCACAACATTTTCTAAATTATGAAAAAGTTTTGTGTCATTAGGAAAACTTGGAGTCACATGTAAGAGTTACTTCAACATGTCATGTGTCTTCAGGATGATACAGCATCTCAATCTCATGATTTCATGCATTTTATTTATGAAAACAGCCAAATTGTAAACTCAAGGCTTAAAGGCAACGGGATTTGGGACATAAACCTTAATCCAGACTTAAGCGAGAAATTAGGGAAATAAAGAAAAAGATTAAAAAAAGCTCGTCTTTAAACAATACAACTTTTTTTCTGTGTGACAAATACAGAAAACTGTATTAATGAAATGAGTTCAATGATGAAAGGTAAATGGGACCCTTTTCATCTTTAGTAATATATAAAGGAATTTCTGACATTAAAAGAGTGTGCTTATTAAAGCGGCTCCACTTTTCCATTCAACAGATTATAGAAAGAAAAATCTGTGAATGGGATCTTATGACCAAACTCTTGACCACATTAACCACAGCTTCAAGTGGAAACTGAACATTATCAACAGCTGATGCAACAATTACAAGCTCTTGTTTTACGTAGGCTACAAATGCGTTACGCATGTGGTTAATATGTGCTATCGATTACTGGATGGAAATCTTCTGACTCCAGATAATAACATCCGCTTTTCCCTAAAGTGAAAACTTTATCAGATAGGTCAAGATTCTTCACATATTTTTCTGCTAAATTCTACAGGATTAAAATATTCTGAATTCAATATATTTATTTATTTATTTATTTATTTATTTATGTATTTATGTTTTGTCCAGGGTGTCCCACCTGTCCCAACATCAGCTACCTGTGACGGTTCATGACAACAAGCACGTGACAAAGAAATGTCCTCTGATTCATAACAAGTTCTTACTTTTTCTTTCAAACACCTCACATTTGAGTTTAATTTTCAAGCACTTACATAAGGGGGACATGGTATGCTAATCTCCTTTTTGCTTCCTTTTGGATTGCCATATCGGTCTATACGGCCTCAATAAAACATCCAGATGCAAATAAAAACAGTCTATCAATTTTTATTTAGTGTTTAATAATTTTTCTATTAAAATGCTGCCATCTCCAACGTGAATGATTACCTTGTAAGTGAGCAAAAGCTCTGGCGCTCATGTTTCAGGGTGTAGAAAACAACCAAACTGAATCTTCCTCATTAATACTTATGATATACAAACATCCTTCTCTGGTTGGAAATATAACTCTTCCACTGTTTTCATTTGTTTATCTTTCTTGCAAAAAAAATGCAACATTGATGTTTTGACTCGTCAAATAACACAAAACTCCAAAAAGTTGCTCCATACTGTGAAGTTGCTAATGCTAATGGTTAGCTTCTACTAGCTGAGACATGCTCTGTGTTTTCCTTCCTATGGGTGGTCACAAGCCAACGTTGGCACTAGAGGAGCAGCGACTTTTTTCTGAGACTTTCCTGTTCATCAGAACTCCTCACCTCAAAGCAGCCAATCAGGGGATGGATGGGCATGGCCAGCGGCAGCTATTTTTTCTTAAAGCAGTAACAAACCACACCTCATCGTGTCACCGCTTTTGGGGACTGAATAAGAATGACAGTGTTGGAGGTCCTGCTTGATGTTTCAAAGATCAAGCCTCACCACTGTGTGCAGGCCCCAGGGCACATAGACACCAAGGTAATAAACCATTAAAACCTTACTAGAGAAGATCTGTGTACATTTTAAAACAGGAGTGGGGAACCCTGGTCCTCAAGGGCCGGTACCCTGCATGTCTTTGCTCCAACACTTCAGATTCAGCGGTTGATTCACCTGTTCAGCAGCTCATCAAGCTCTGCAGAAGCCTGCTAATCACCTGCTGATTGATATCAGGTGTGTTGAAGCAGGGTTGAAACTAAAGTATGCTGGATATCGGCCCTCGATGGACCAGGGTTCCCCACCCCTGTTTTAAACCATTGATGATGTATCATGCTCTGTCACACAAATTGTACTATTAACGCAACACAAGAGTTCATTTACAATTCAAGCGATTGCTTTTAAAGTTGGTTTCAGTTGTTTTTAAGCTACAAATTGCACCAACTTCAGATTGTGTAGCAATCTGCAGCCCTCTTATGACCAGAAACCACATTTAGCAGATTTGTGGAACGGATAGGTTCCCTAGGTAGAGCTCTTAATCTGCTTTATGACCGTTAGCTGTTTACTCTGCCGATGGCTAATATAAAGGCAAGCATTTGGCTTTTTCGGTAAGAGAGTAATGTCTTTGGAGGGGAAGCAAAGACTTAAACCCAACAGTGGCGCGGCCGACACTCATTTGAGAAAGATAAAGGAGGCTATGAAATCATATTTTATAATATTTTTGTAATACTATATTTTTTTAGTGTGGACCTTTTTACTTCGTGGTTTATTCAGTGTCAGTAGGCTCAGGCTAGTGCTAGCTCGATATTAACGCTAGCTACAGCAGGCTGCAGTAGGGTTGTTAACAACAGTAGTAATTTCACTTTCAACCAGTAGAAAGGAGAAACCGGAAACTCTTTAGTGCCGCTTTAATAAACGTCTTTAGACCTCACAGGGACCTTGCAAAAACCTTCCACATTTTGGTTGGTACCTTGATTTTCATCCAGTGTCAAGTGCAGCTTCTGCTCCTGAAAATATCCAACCCATAATTTATTCATCGGATAGTAGGACTTACAGGGGGAGCCTGGAGATCATTCCTGCAGAGATGGAGGTAAGACCATCGCTGATGGTGGCCACCGAGCCTCCCGTCCTCAGCACGCCCACCGCCAGCTCAAGCACCATCAGTCCAATAAAGAACGGAGTGGCCTGCACACTCAAAGAGACATAAACAATGGTGAACCAGCACTGAAAGAACAACACCGTCTCAAGTCCACTGTTGTTTTTATCAGTTCTGCTGAGTATTTCTTTTGGCAGATGAGCTAAAATGCTGCTTAGAACTTTCATGTCTTGCGGGTCCATGATGTTTGTTTCACAGTAGGAGGCTGGAGCAGTGGCTCTAAAGCCACAGTGATTTGGCAGGTTGGAAAGCACAAACATTTATTTGAACAAAGCAGAGGTGAAGGTTGAAATGATCCCAGTGGATAAATTACACATCAGTGCTAACAAACAGAACATTTCCATGTTTCAGATGGCAGCCAAACAAAATAAAACAAAGAGTAGACACCATGTTAGGATGGTTAGAAGCAAAAACACAGGCAAAGAAAGCTGAAGGCTTTCTCTAAGTTTTGGTAAAGCTAATTACACACAGTATAATTCATATGAACAATAAACTAGTAGAAATCAGATAAACAACTTTGTTTGTTTGGTGGGAAGTTTTAACCTAATGTGTGCAGGTGTGTTCATCATATCTCTAACTGGAACTTGTTTTTGACTTTTTGGTTTGAAAAATAAACACATAATCATTCTACAGACAATATACAGGAAAGAATAAATGCTATATTTTTTTTCCTATTTTATGCAAAAAAGTAAAAACTAACAGAAGATTGTAAAAAGTCTTGAAACTAAACAGATCACAAAAGTCAGACTCTTCCACCCAACACCATGTTCTGAAAGTCTTTGTTTGGGCATCGCTGAAAGGTGGGTGTGGAGTTTCTAAGTAATAAGTGACTGGAAATAACTGATAGCAGAAAATTATAGAGGACTTGGAGTAGCAGGATGAGCCCAGCTTCAACCATGAACGATCCAATAAATCATTAACTGCGTGCCAGTTTAATGTATAATCATTATGTGTATCTAGTGATTTATCTAGGTCAGGGATAACTAGACTTATGGGTTTGTGTACAAAATCTGCCATTTTTCTACGGTAGACTCAGAATGGATGTTCAGTAAGGGTTGTTGTAAAGCAGTTTCGCTCCTTTTGTGAATCATTCTGTAGTTGTTAGGATTAGAGTCAGTTGGTCCAGCTTTTTTTCAGGAAGAACGTAAATTTAAAGTTGATTTATTCATCTGAATCAGCTGTATTTGTAACAGGTGTGTGTGTGTGTGTGGGGGGGGGGGGGGGGGGGGTCCTCTTTGAGATCAAGATAAACTAATGAAAACAAAAATCAGATAAAATGGGGCAACATGTATTTAGTAAAAGGATTACTTAGGGCATCATGCTATTTATGTTTAAAGGAGCAATATGTATGAGCTTCACAGTGAAAAAAACATCACAAAACAGCCTAATGTCTCCATCGTTTTGGAAGGAAAGTTACTTTGGCATTTGTAATTCAACACCAGCAGGCAAAAATTTTCAGAGTTGTCTAAAAAACTGACACCAGTAAACAGGAGCGACCCAGAAGTTATTACTGGTTCCCCTAAGAAGCCATGGTATCTTTCTGTTTTACTGTAATGTTTAAGCAGGCTAGAGGCTAATGTTAAGCTAGCAATGCTAGCAGTAAAATAGACTCAAATAGTAGGCTCTAAAATATTTCAAGCTACTTTTTCAATTACCAAGATCTCAATATTGCAGTGAAATGTCTATGTGTGCAATGAATTATGAGTCAATCATGGCATTCTACTTCCTTTAAAGAGTCGTTCAGAACTATAACAGCAAGCTAACAGCAAGACGGCAAACAACCACACTTCCTCTAGTACCAAAGGTAATAAGTGCTCCCTACCATGAAACACCCGACTGCTAGCACCAGATATTAGGGATGCACGTTTTCCTAAATTTCTTTAACCGGTGATTGATGCCCTTGATGGTTAATAACCGGTTAACTGGAAACCAGTTCAGTTTACTGTGCCAAGTTCTGCCAGGCTCAGTGCATTGATGTGAGACTTATTGTGCTCCAAGAATGAAATATCTAAGAATAAAATGCTCTAACGCCAGCTCATTGCTAACCGCTTCGTGCTTGAGCACTTTTGTTTGATCATGTGACAAGCTAATTTCTTCTTCTGCGGTTGAACATTTTTGATAGCAGCGCTATTGCACCCTCTAGTGGCACAAAGTATATTGCACCCAGCGCAACAGAAGGACTTGATGCAGTCAACTGGGTAGGGCTGCAACAAACGATTATTTGGATAATCGATTAATCGGATGGGGTCTCGACACGATTAATCGATTAATCGGATTACATTGGGAAATTTTTAAAAACTGCTAGGGAAACGTTATTTCTCTCCTTCCTTCACTTTATTTAACACAACATTATTAGAAAACAGTTCAATAGCAGAAAAACAACATGCCATCACCTGAATTGTCTTATAAGGTGTATAGACAGAGACCCTAAGCTACATCTATCTGTGACCTAAAATGCTTGGTCCAAGTTAAACAGCTTAAGGGCAATTCTCATCTGTTTTGTTTGATCTCATCTGTTAACATTTATTTTAAATGTAATTAAACATAGGCTGTGAATGAATCAAAATTGATCACCATTTCCAAAAATGACTGAAAAAATACCAAATAAAACAAAAGTAAATGAATGCCATCCTCCTTGCGATGATGCCCTGGGCAACTGCCATAGTCACATCAAGAAATGCTGCTGATCATTCCAATGATCCCAAATAGACTCACATTAGGCCACATGAAAGCAACTGAACCCAAAAATATATTAACCAGTATATAACTGCACTCTCACACAACACGCCTGCAGCAACAGTTAGGACTCCTCCCTCCCTTTTAAAAGCGTTTTTGCTTCCGAGGACATTGTGGTTGTAAAACCACATGCTAGTAGTCTGGCCCCGGTGTGATCAACCAGTTTCTGCGGGAATGTGACGGCGGAACCAGGGCCAGATTAACACTTTGTTGTACCCTGGGCAACAATATTCAAGGGCTCCATCATCACGACCCGAGGATCACCATAATATGGTCACATACAGAATATTTTACTGTAATATGCAGTAAATATACTCAATACTTGAATGCCTGACAACACGTGACCCGCCCAGAGTAACCTTTGACCCACCTCGTGTGGACTGACCAATGGGGAGAGGGTCTTAACTTGAGGCCCTCTCTTCATTGGTTAGTCTGCATGAGACTGACTCTCAACTGACGTTCAAAGTCATAGGCAGCGAAGCGTCTCTGTGCAGCGCAAAATCCCGGGTGGACAGTTTGTGTAATATAGGGTGATCATATTTCCATTTCCAAACAAGAGGACAGGGGATCTGTGCCTATGACGTCACACTATGGCAACGCCACACAAACCATGTTGGGACCCATTTTTTGTAAGAACTAAATTAATATCAGATTCTGCCGATAAAAGGGCTCTAAAACAATTCATATGTAAATATTTTGCATATTTAATGCAAAATCTGATTTTTCTGCTTTAGTGCTGCAACAAGGTTTTATTAATAATAAATTATTATACCTTTTGTTTTACTACAGCATCGGTAAGCTTCCTGTGCACAGATTATTAAGGATGCTTGTTTCAGCTGTGAGATTAGACGATAGGATCAATGAAAAAATAAGTTGTCACACACTCCATGGAAACTTTCAGAGAATCCACAAATAGCGGCTTTCAAATGGTTTTGTTACTTTTTGCAAGTTTAGAAAAGAAGCAGATGAGACAGCATGTCTGATAATTTAGTTTTTCATCTGATAATATTAGAACATGTCAGTAATGTCTGAGGGGCTTTTATAAACACTGTATAACTAACACTCCTGGAGAGGGCATGAATTACACAGAGGTTTCTGGGGAGCCCAGTTATGGGGGGGGGGGGGGGGGGGGCATTTTGCCTTGGCCCCCAAAATGTCTTGAAACGGCCCTGGGTGTGTGACTGAGTTTTGAAGGTGATCTGAATTGTATCAGATGTATAAATATTACATGTGTATAACTTATTGTTTTATACAGGTAAAAACGTGTAGTGGAGATAAATTTACCTACATTTTACTTTTCAACACTTTGTTTTGTTTTCTTGTTTTTATTTAACTATTTTCCTGTCCTGTCTGTCTCTCGTCTTCCTGCATCTCCTCATAATTCTCCAGAAAATCTGTTGCCTGGATTCTTACCTTTTCACCTCATCAGTTACTTTTGAGCAGATCAAAGATCTCCTGACCGCAAAGCGCAGAGTGCGTTTCGATGCTGCGTGAGGTGACATCACCACAGCACAGGTGATGAGCTCCGCAGTAGCGCGCTTCAGGCACAAATAAGACAGAAAATAGAGAACATGTGCAGACAAGAACGATCGTGTGCTAATTATAGTTTTTTGGTTGCGCCACTTTGAGAATGGACCGTGCGCTGGAAGCAGCTGCCTGGATCGCTGCGCAACAATGCGGAACCGGTTCGCAGCAGCACAAAGTCTGCAGGCTCTCCCTCGCGCTGATCTGCCGATACCGGTGTTCTGATAAAACATCCTACTTTGACAAAACGTCCTACCCGTAGGATAATTTTACCGTGTCCTCTGATAAAACGTCCTACTTTGACAAAACGTCCTACCCGTAGGATAATTTTACGCTGTCTCGTGCCTCGTGACAAACTGCCCTACTTTGGCAAAATGTCCTACTGTACGTAATTTATGCACATTTCTGCTGCCAAACAATAATTCCACCACAAATTTAAGTAGGTATGACAGTTTACCACTTCACTTTGCCAATCAGAGTATGTTTGTAGCTGATATTCATAAAGCCAGTACGGTTTGACACTTCTTTTTACCCATTAAAGTGTGCTTGTAGGTCATATTCACAAAGGTAGCATGTTTTGGCACGTAATTTTTATGCTTCTAGTTTATAATAACAAAGGTAGCATGTTTTGGCACATAATTCTTATGCTTGTAGTTTATAATAACAAAGGTAGCATGTTTTGGCATGTAATTTTTATGCTTGTAGTTTATAATAATAAAGGTAGCATGGTTTGGCACATAATTCTTATGCTTGTAGTTTATAATAACAAAGGTAGCATGTTTTGGCATGTAATTTTTATGCTTGTAGTTTATAATAATAAAGGTAGCATGCTTTGGCACATAATTCTTATGCTTGTAGTTTATAATAACCAAGGTAGCATGGTTTGGCACATAATTCTTATGCTTGTAGTTTATAATAACCAAGGTAGCATGGTTTGGCACATAATTCTTATGCTTGTAGTTTATAATAACAAAGGTAGCATGTTTTGGCATGTAATTTTTATGCTTGTAGTTTATAATAATAAAGGTAGCATGCTTTGGCACATAATTCTTATGCTTGTAGTTTATAATAACAAAGGTAGCATGTTTTGGCATGTAATTTTTATGCTTGTAGTTTATAATAATAAAGGTAGCGTGCTTTGGCACATAATTCTTATGCTTGTAGTTTATAATAACCAAGGTAGCATGGTTTGGCACATAATTCTTATGCTTGTAGTTTATAATAACAAAGGTAGCATGTTTTGGCATGTAATTTTTATGCTTGTAGTTTATAATAATAAAGGTAGCATGCTTTGGCACATAATTCTTATGCTTGTTGTTTATAATAACCAAGGTAGCATGGTTTGGCACTTGTTTGTAGAAGCAGTCTGCATGCCAAGGTGCTTAAGTTATACAGCTGTCACCATTGAAGTGATTGGAACACCTGACTACATAAACTTTGACAATGAACTCACTCCATTATAGTTACAGTATATATTTACTGAATATATTTACAGATGCATATATTTGACATTTATAGATCCAACAGAACACAGGGACAAAGAACTGAAAAAGAAATTTAATGTCAACTGTCATACCAAACCAGTAAAATCTGGAACACACTGCATTTAGCGTTTTGTGTGTGCCAGTGTGTCCTCCGATTGGAGATGAATGAAACTCATGAAAAATCTTCCTGGCATCATCCATGGTTTTTACTACTCTTCTGGTTCCAACAAAGAGTTCTCTATCTGCAGTAAAACAATATATATTTAGAATTTAATGTAACCACATATATGAGTTGTTAGGATTAACAATAAATTACTGACCCTTTTGTTTGAATTTTGAGGCATATCTTCTGAGGTTTTGCCTCTGAGCCTTGTCATATCCTGAAGGGTAGGAGCCCGCAGAAATGAATGTGTAAATCTCTTCCCACTTCTTCTCCATATCTATGAATGTAAGTAGACATTTTCTTCTGAGCTTCAATATGTGCAGTTAACAATGCAAATAATTTAACTTATTAAATAGCGACATTACCGAAACAGCCTTAAAACACCGAAGCTGCGGATTCAGAAGTGTTGTCCAAATACCACATGTCCAGTAACCACAGCAGACTTAACCAAAGCTGCAAATTCGACAGTTTTGTGCAGAAAGCAGATAGCGACTTTACTTTAATATTGACAAACAATCACAAAGGCTTAAATAAATCAATAAAAAGTACTAATACTTAACTACTTACCTATTTTCCTGCAAATCTGACAACGGAGTAGCATGAAATCACAGCCGGATGCGCTTTGCTTCCTTTTTGTGTTGTGCGCATGCGCGCACATGCGCAGGAACGACGGGTAGGACGGTTTACGGGGTAGGAGAAATTCCCGGAACACCGGCTCTCCCTCGCGCTGATCTGCGGCTCTCCCTCGCGCTGATCTGCCGGTACCGGCTCTCCCTCATGCTGATCTGCCGGCTCTCCCTCGCGCTGATCTGCGGCTCTCCCTCGCGCTGATCTGCCGGTACCAGCTCTCCCTGATCTGCCGGCTCTCCCTTGCGCTGATCTGCCGGCTCTCCCTCACGCTGATCTGCGGCTCTCCCTCACGCTGATCTGCCGGTACCGGCTCTCCCTCACGCTGATCTGCCGGCTCTCCCTCGCGCTGATCTGCGGCTCTCCCTCGCGCTGATCTGCCGGTACCAGCTCTCCCTGATCTGCCGGCTCTCCCTTGCACTGATCTGCCGGCTCTCCCTCGCGCTGATCTGCCGGCTCTCCCTCGCGCTGATCTGACTTGCTCTGGTCTGCGCGCAACGGCGGGCGGGAAAGGGGGGGGGGGGGGGGGAGGGGGCGCTTTTGGAAGAGTTGTGCGACACAACGAATCGATGACGCAATTCGTTGCCAACGCTTTTAGTAATCGATTTTCATCGAATTTATCGATTCGTTGTTGCAGCCCTACAACTGGGCATAACTATTTTACCCGGTTATAACGTTAACGACAATTAACTGGTTAACTACATACATCCCTACCAGATATGACAATGTATTCATCTACATATCAACTCACAGTGTATAACTCAACTTTGCTTGTCATCTAGAATCCTCCAACACTGGTCCGTAACCGGCAACAGTCATGAAACTCACAGGAGTGAAAAAGTGAGTTTTTGTTTAGAAAATGGGCTGCAGTGCCCAGATTTGACCACAGGATGTCATTCTAACTTCATATTGCACCTTTAAGCCTGAATGTATCTAAGAGCCAAGTATGACTCAGTTTGACAGTAATTTTATGATAAGTCACCCTAATATTTCATCTTCTAGATGTAAATGGACAGGCTTCTACAGTTTTAAGTTTTGGGCCTTGCTGATGTTTTTTCTGTTGCTGATTTTTTATTAGAAAGACTCATTGTGCATCTCATAGTGCTTAAGAGTTTAAATGTTTTAGGAAACACACTGCAATCTTTATAAACACCAATCAAGTTCCAGTAACTAATTCTGTTAATGTTAAATCTGCTGGTGTTTCTCTGAGGCTAACATACAAGACAGAACAAGCAGGGACGAGAAAGGAGACAAAATGACACAGTGTGATCATCAAAAAGTTTGTTTATTGTTTTTAATTACTGTAATTTGGGATTAAAAGTGAGTTAATCTCCTAAATTAAGAAAATCTTCTGCCGCCTCAACCGATACAAGCAAATAAATGCTAACTACAGCAAATGTTTCAAAAATCATTGTTGCAAATATTTATAATAATAAAAAAAAATAACCCAAAGGCTAAAACAATGAATGGCAGCTTTTATATTTCTGACACTTCTGAAAACATGTAAAACTTTCTAATGGGTCTGTCAAACATGGAAGAAATTATTGAGGGACGGGGTTAGAAAACAGGTCGTAGGTGTGATTTCAGCAGCGCGGCTGGTTAGCCTCAGTCAAAAGCTGCAGTGAATGAAAGCACGATGGGACCACATAGGAGCACATGTGCAGGTGGGTTAGGAGGGTGTGTGTGTGTGTGTGACTACACTAACATGCAGGTGTGTGTGCACAGGCAGAGGCGTGAGCACCACTGGGGACCTGCGAGCACACGCAACGTTCCAACATCTGGCAGCAGACTGCAGAGCTGCAGCGAATGGGCTCAAAGCGCTGCAGACCTCCCGCAGACCCGCAAAGAAAGGTGATCAATCTGGACGCCAGCTTAAAACCTACCTCCATTTTTCTGTCCAGCAGATACGTTTTATTTGTGCAGCCGTCAACTCTTGACAGCTTTGGGCAAAAGTTTTCCGCACTATCAGAATGGCGAGAAAGAAGTTTGTGTGCCTTTTCCATCATTGTCCTTCTTTTATTTTTTTTTTTATAAAGAGTAGAAGGAGTCACCGCTCATCTGCGTGGGGTGCTGGATCAAAAGTAGAATTCAAAAAGATAAGAATCTGCACACTTCAATCAGTGATGTGAGAGCTTTATTTGTCGAGCTTTCAGTCAGAGACCTTCAGGTCAAATAAAGCTCTCACATCGCAGATTGAAGTGTGCGGATTCCTATCTTTTTGAAATCTCTTTTTTTATATAAAATATTTTTTGCTTATATGTTAGATAATTAGAAGATCCTTCTTTCTGATTTGTGCATGAAAACATCCTTCCTTTTGTTTTCTGTCATCCTAACACATGAACAAAACATCCCAGCAAAGCCTATTTAATACGGCAGCACATTGAGAGTTACTGGTTGTTGTGGTGACTAATAATGAGTTTTTATTTCAGTCTGAATTCAACCATACAAGCAAACTTTACATTTGTAGACCAGATGTTTGCATTTTCCCAAGCAGCCCTTTTCTAAGGTCACAGATGACTGATGCTGGATAGAAGACTACACACTTTTATCACTGTTGTCTGAGAATTACTGTGTTTGCTTTCAAATCACTGAGTCGCTCAGAGACCTGGCAACCAGCAATAAACCTATAACTCTCAACAACTCCCACATTAGACGATTGCTTTGTTGTTAATTAATTTGTGGGATCACAGTACAACAGTGAGGAACAATTCATGACTCGTCACAAAACTGTAAACAGGTCCGGCACGCCTATGCAAACTTCCATCACCGTCGAGCTTGTTTCTTTAATCCCGGCTGGTGGATTTCAAGCTCTTCTACAGTGGGAGTAATTAGTGTCCTCTCCAGATGTTCCCATAAAAACAAACATGTGTTGTTAAAGCTGCTGCAAACTTTTCCAAAAATAAAGGGTAATTGAAACTCTGCTAAATGACACACACAAAAACTAGAATAAAAAGGAGAATTCGCAGGTGGTACTACTAGAATAAAGTGCATTTTAAGGTTTTTCCATTGAAGGGAAGCTATTTTGCTTCTAGGTGTTTTTTTATCAACTTTGTGTCTGTAACCGGATTTGAATTTGCGATGAGCCAGAAATTAGGAACACTTCTCTATAGCTGCATGATCAGATTAATATCTTTGTTTTATAATAAAATTCCCCTGCACAGTCATCGTTGCATGGACATGCATATCAAGTCTATATCCAAACCACATCTGTAGGATGTCCAAACAAGTTCTTTGCATAGTGGGAAAAGTCATTAAAAGCCAAAAAAATACCTGAATAAAACGTTTAATATTTAAGTTTAAAAGTAGATCTGAACCAGTAGAACATACCTTAAATAAAAGCTTCTCGGTATAAAATTATTTAAAAGAGAGTTTAATACTGAATAAACATTTATTTTTATATTTACTATTTATTTATACTATACATATTAATGACTCTGGATCATTTAAAACATCAAAAATTAAAAAGGTCTTATTTTTCGTTTTTCATTAAAACACTTTCTATTAAGTTTACTTAGAATTTTATAATTTTTTCATTATTATTAATATCTTGCTTTACACAAGAAGGATGAAAGCCACGAAGGGCTTATATATACATATAAGTTGTATATATAAAACAGTTTTCCTGTCTATTCTCTTTTGAACTAAATTTTGATCAAAAATAATTAATTTTCCTTAATAATCTCTCCTCTACATTCAGTAACTATTTTTGATCTGTGGTTAATAATTGTTGTCGCTCTGACACTGAAAGCACTCAAATACAACAGAAATGCACAAAAATATCATCATAATCATCACTTTTACAGTTTGGGGGCAAATTATCATTTGTTTATGCATTTTATTTAGTTGCTCTACAATGACCTGCACAACGTTGTTTCTACTATTTTAAACAGATTAAACTACATTATTTCTTCTTCTCTGCATAACTCACACTAGAGAAGATGGAGGTGGAGGAAGGGGCTACACCCACCTGCTGCACATATTGAGGAACTTCTTCGACTTTCTGAAAAGATGACTCGTTCGGCGTGAGCATGAAAAACAAGGACCGGAACCCCCGGGACACCGAACCGGAGCCCACTTCCACAGCCATGGTCGTTGCAGGGAGCTGAGGTTACCTGTGCAGGTGTTTCCAGCGCAGCGACGCTCCTTAAACTGCAGCTAACGCTCTTAAGTTTTCAGCATTAAGAAGCCTGGTTTGCTGTGCCTTGGTTTGAGGGAACTAGGTCAGCTGCGTCACGGAGCGCGTGCTGCTGCGGAATAAAGTTGTGACTTGTAGAAGAACCGGAACCGGGACGGTTTAAATCAGCCGTGGAAGCTTCTGACTGTTTCTATTCACACATTAATCCTCCGCGTTTTCGACGCTTGTTTACTTTTGGTTTCGGTGTATTCAGGACTGAATAACACTTCTTATCGTTTTATCTCGCGAGATTTAGCGGTTCTAGCTGTTACCTAAAATGCTTTGAGATTACTTTAGCCTGTCTGAAGGTTTTTGTAATATGTTCAACAGCATGACGCAGTTTCTTTCTATCAGCCAGCTGTTACATAAGTTATATAACCTCTCCCTGCTAATTAGTGACTAAATAACTTTAACTGAGTACAGAACGTTCCTTGAGTCTTTGTCACAAGTTTTTCTTAAAAAAGCTAAGTAGTTAGAAGCTTTTCACATGTTTTATTATATTTATTTATTTATTTATTTATTTTTGGTTGCAGAAAGATGAAAGAAATGTGTCAAGTCTTATAAAGGACTACAATGCTGCAATAATCTTTCTTATGAGCTGTCAAAAGATTATTTATTGAAAATAAAGTCCTTATTTATAAAATATTCTGTCATTAACTCTTACAAACAGCAGCCTGACCTCTCCAGCACCAGGAGCTGGCTCTGCCCTGCTGCACCAACCTCACCTCTCCTCCCTGCTGCAGGCTGCTGAGTGGGAACAGCTGCTCTCACTCCAGCTGGTTACCTTTTTACACAACATAAATAAAACACTTTAATTATAACAACAAAACTTCCTGCAATAATTCTTATGTCAATCCTCCTTCACACCATGAGTCGGGGTTGTAACATTAACAATTTTGTGGATTGAAAAAAAAATTGTATCAGTCACAAAATAAACCGGGAAGCTGTACATTAATTGTGTTTATAAAGATTTATCAGAGTTCTTATAAGAGCTTCTTTGGGATGTTTGTTCTGTTTATCAAATGACATTTTTGATTCTTTTTTGTACACTATGTAATAAAAATTAGTTTTTACCTTTTTTGTTAACAAGTTTCGGCTAGTTCTGTAGCCTTCATCAGAGCAACGCCAATGTTGGTGACCAGTGGCGTTTTTACCATTAGGCATAGATCGGCGGCCACCTGGGGCCCCTGTTGGGGAACCCCTAGCCCTGACTGCTGGAACCCTGTGTTAATGCCACAATTAACTATTCCTTTAAGACGCCGATGCACAAACAGGATGTGGTTGCTAGTCATTCCACTCCAATCCAGTTGGTGGCAGTAATGCATCAAATTGTCATTTGCCAATAATACCTAGCTGCAGACGCAGCCCCGTCCAAACACGCCCCCGACAAAACACGCCCCCATGTGCCTGTTGAGCTACCCCCGAGCTCAATAACGGCGGCCCTCCCAGCGTGCGGGGAGCATCCCGCTGTCAGCTCCAGCAGCTCCATGTTGGGTAATTTGTATTTTCCATAACCCTTTACCTGAAATAAACACACCAAATACAAAGAGGAGTTCATTTTACACTGTCTCATAAAGAGTGGAGAGGAGGCGAGGCACAGGAGCTGTTTCCAACGTCTCCCCCACCCCTCTCAGTTCAACAGAGGTTTTTATTGAACAATGGGATGGAGGGCGGGCCTTCCTTGAGTTTCAGAGTTACAGACTCATCTCCTAGGAAACCATATTCCAGAGATAACAGCACAGCAGGCTTACAGAGGAATCATTTACAGAGGAACTACACAGTCAAAATACACACACAACTCCCCAGCTGACTGGTAACTTAATCAACATTCTTCAGAATCAGCTGACCGGGGTAACTTAATCAACACATATTGTTTGGACCTTCATCTTGTCTCAGGAAGTTGGGTGATCACAGAGGCCATTCTTCACCACTCTAAAATGTGATCAAAGAAGATCGATGACCTGTTGTTTAAACAAATGCTTATCATGTCCTGCAACGTTCTTTAGGCCTCAAAAAGGTATATTAAATACAGAAATTACCTATCACTCCACACAATTGAAAGAATAAGTTTATACAGAAATAGTAATAATGTAATTAAACCGACAGGACTCCAGGTTTAAATATGAATTTTTTTTTTTGCATACACACTTTATGGCCATCCCCAGTGAGATTATAAAACACAGATACCACCAACAAATAATCAGTTGCTGGACAATAGGCACAACATACCTATGCTTACTTAAGTTAGCAGGTGAGTAATGTATGTGCAAGTGTTTATTTTAAATGCAATAAAATTAAATATCTGAAAAAGTCATTAGTGGTAATTGTTTTAATTAACCCCTTAAGCCCACTAGCCTCCATTTTTGGGAGCATGCCTCCTACAGCAACATTTAACTTTCAACCATTTGTTATTACAGGCACTAACAGTAGGTCTAAGTTCATAAGAGTAAGTAGTTAATATTTATGTTACTATTTATGATTTTTTATTGCTTCTTTACAGTGAAAAGCTGCTGATGTATAATTTTTAGGCATATTTACATATGTGTATATATGCATTTCATATATTCTGTTAACAGGATTAATTGCTGGCCCTTTGACACAAAATGTATTGATTTAGAAATTACTAAAACATTTTGCATTAAGTATACAATTCACAAGACTAGTAAACTGATATTGACCATACACTAATCTGTAAAGAATATACTGTAAACACAAAAGCAGAAAAGTTTGGCTTTAGAAAAAAAGTTCAGACAAATGAAACAACCAGCAACAGCTTTTATTGGCCTTACAAAAACCTTCCAAAAATAAAAAAAGTCCACACAATGCTGCAGCCTCTTCAAAAATTCAGATGAGTCCAGAGCTTTTCTGAATTTCTCCGAGTATATGAGCAGTTCCATGGCATAGGACATCAGCTGCCTCTCACTAATGAGACAAAGATAAATACCAATTAGTAAAAATGACAATTACACCTAGAGGCTGTCATAAACAATGTGAAAACAATACATGTAGGCATTAGCACTGTTCTTGTGTTTGTAGAATACATCTGGGCTACTACATTGCCGTCGTGAGTTTGCTGCTTATTAGATGAGGAGTCAACAACGGTCAAATAAATAGCCTATTGTTACGTTTATTTTGGCCAAAAGGCTTGCATGTAGCCCATTAAAAATTATATAAAAATATTTTGCATCCATGATGTCTTCCCCCACTGCCAATGATGCTTAATTTTATATAAAACTGTTTCAGAAAAAAATCACTAATGTGCTACCTATCAAACTATGTCTTTAACGTTCAAATTTAAAGTACAAAATCTTCGCAAGTTGTAAAAATATAAATCTGTCTTCACCTGAACCGTCATTTCCATCTGTTGCAACACACATGCGAGTTCTCGTCTTCGTACATGCACGCGTTTTGTACATAGGGGCGTGTTTGGACGGGGGCGTGTTTGGACGGGGCTGCGTCTGCAGCTAGACCTTACTCAGTGTCATAAGACCACAAATAAGAAGAAGAGAATGCAGAAAAAGAAGAAAAGCAGGGGGAGCGTTCTCAACAAACTCAAAGTGGTAGTCAAAACATTAATCATGAAATGGAGTCATCCTAGTGGCTCCAATAAGAGAAAGAAGCAGCTTGCTTTAAAAAAGCTTTTATCTTCACTTCCCAAAGTTACATCGCTTTTCAATGTAAACATCAAAAGGAAGCAGAAAAGGAAAGACAGTGGAAAATGTTTCAAGGGAGGAAAACAGACCAAAATGAAAAATAGGAAAAAAAAGAAAGGCAAAAGCACAGGAGAACAGACAGGAAGAAGAAAGCAGAGCAAATATTGAAGGCACTCAAAGGGAGAGAAAGACAGGAAAAAAGAGGAGTAATAAAAAGTGAAAATAACTCATGTCAGAAGAGGGTAGAGCTTCGCAAATCTAGTTAAAGATAAGATTGTCAATAATTTTGTGTAAGGGGGCCCCATGTCTGTGTTCGCCTTGGGCCCCCAAATTGCTAAATCCGCCACTGTTAGTGGCATCACTTCCATCTCCATTTATCTGCACGCAGGTAGCAAAAAAGGTAAACCGTTATTATACGGTGTACCAGAAAGAACCACATAATGGAATTTTTAAGGGCTGCATGGCGGTGGAGCTGGTTGGTATCGTCCAAGCCCCCACAATGCAGGTGAAAATTTGAGGCCAACGCGGAAGTGACAAAAATTGCAGTTCCACCCTCATCCGCTGGGGGCTGGTGTCGGAAGCGAGCAAATCCTCATTGACTCCCATGTTACATGCTTTTTGTTTAAATGATCTAGTTTACACTCATGACAACTCTGAGGGGGGTGAATTTTTTTCTCACTCTTCTGTTTAAGTGTATTAAAAGCCTAAATTCTGTATAATTAATGAGCATCAGACCCACGTGACCACAGAGCTAGCTCCGTGGAAAGGCCTCAGTAGAGCCTCGGTCTGGCCTAGAAACTGTTCTGGGATTTTGAGTCTCTGTGTTTGTGTATTCTTTTTTGGATATTTTTTGTGCAATTGTTGGACAAAATGACTTGCTGTGGCATTAATTGCACTAGTAGAGCGTCCAAGGAGTCTCCACTTCATTTTTTTCGGTAAGTAAGATTATATTTATGTATTTTAGGTCACTGCCGAGCTGAGCTTAGATTTTAACACGTACTGTTTAACCATGAAATTTAAATGTAATAGGGTAAAACCCAGTGCATTTAACATAATGCTGCACTTTTGAAAATGGGTTGAAATATAACATGTTGGTAGAGCTGGGTTCCAACTATCGGCTTGTGGGCAGCAGTAGCTCAACAGGTTCCAGTAATCGGAAGGTTGCAGGTTCGATCCCGGCTCCGGACTGAGAATTCTGCTGTTGTGTCCTTGGGCAAGACACTTAACCCACCTTGCCTGCTGGTGGTGGTCGGAGGGTCCGGTGGCGCCTGTGCTCGGCAGCCTCGCCTCTCATCTCCACCAGTGTATGAATGTGTGTGTGAATGGATGAGTGATACACTGTAGTGTAAAGCGCTTTGGAGTCCTTACTCTGAGAGGCGCTATACAAGTGCAGGTCATTTGTGGAGCTCTCGGGAGACCTTTGTTTTCCACCCGTTTCTCCCCTCCCTGTAGCTCGGTGCATCTCTGTCTGATCGCGGCTTCTGTGTGCTGTGCGGGCTGTCGGCTTGTGGAGCTCTGGGATGGAAACCTTTCCACCCGGATCTCCCCAGCAGCAGCTCTGCGCATCTCAGATCGCAGCAGCGCTTGTCTGCTGTGCGGCTGCCGGCTTGTGGAGGTCTCGGAGACCTCTGTGTTACACCCGGTTTTACCCAGCGGTCAGCCCGGCGTATCTCTGACTCAGAAGCTCTGGTGTTGTGCACGGTTAACTCCGGTTGTAGCTAGGTTGCTACCTCCGTTAGCTTAGCTCCCACCTCCGCGTTAGCTTTGGGTTAGCTTCAGGTTAGCTTTTTGCTAGTTCGACCGGGTGTCGTCAGTTGATCCAAGCCTTACAGCCCCACCCTCAGCTCCACCCCTCTTGCCTTTTGTGGAATTGTCTGGGCTTGACGGAACCTGTGACATGGTCAAAATGGCGGTGGTGGCCACCTCCCATTTATCTTCAAAAATGTGTTATTGGAGTCTATGGAAACCCATTGTCCAATATTTATATGTCGATGGTATCGTCACATCACAATAGGAAGGTCCTGGTTCCAATCTCAGCTCTGACGGGTTCCTCCCACTGACCAAAAACAAAAATGCTGTCCATTTGCTCTAGCTGTGAGTGGAGACCAGTGCATTTGTTTCCCGGCTTGGAATCCGAGACAGAATTAAACTGACAAAACAGCATTTTAGCACCACACAAAGTAAAAATGTGCGCGCGGGGTTCAAGGGCCACAAAGAGGGGGCGGTCCGCAGGCCGCCTATTAAGTACCACTGTTCTAGATTTTGTGTGAAAATAAGTCCAGGACTACAAATGCGCATCACAAAAGTGACGTCATCAAACCAGACATGGAGAAAAACAGAAGAAAAATGGCTGTAAGTTTAGCGAAATTAAAATCCTTCTTTCAGGAGTAAAAAACCACCATAAATCTGGCCATTTGGTAAATAGGAACTACGTTAGAGAAGAAGAGATTCTGTGATTAGATATGCGATATCTAATTTGTAGTCATGTTAATTATGAACTTTTACAAACCGATAAACCTCAGAGTACGTGATAGGCGTGGTAGAAACACCCATCATTAGTTCTCATTTAAATTGCAGTACAACATATGTGGGATCCAGGGTCTAGAGAAAGCTGAGTAGAAAAAACTCTTTTAGCTCCATTGACTTGCATTCATTTTTTCGTTCTTCCAGGGATCCATGAGCCGACCTGAAAGGGAGGGAAGTTAGGCTACCTATGTGTGGTTTTTACCGTTAATCCCTAGAAATACCCATCAAAATGTTGTTAGGAATTAATTAAATGATGTCCAGTTGGTGAAAAATGGTGGCTACAGAACATAAAACCAAATAAATCAGGTTTGAAATACATGGGAGCAGGTCTAAGGGTGTGTCCAAATCCACGGGAAGGATTCTTGTAAGAGCACATTTTGATGTCGATGACGTCACAGCGCAGCGATGAGTACTGTCCGAATTCCAAGAATACTCATTCTCGCATCCTCAAATGCGTCCTCGCTCCGCCCACATTTCGAGGACGGGTCTGTTGTATCCTCACAGAACAAGGCTATCCCAGCATGCTTTGCACACCACTGTGGATTTTCAACAGGAAGAGAAAATGGGGAGAGCTACGAAGTTTTAAACGTAAGTAAGTAAGGGTGACTCTGTTCCTGGATCATTTATTTAAACTGAGTGAGCAGGAAGTCTTTGGCAGTGCAGCTGGATCTGCTGCAGGAGGATCCAGACGTGGATGGAGGGCTGGAACAGACCCGTGGCTGAAAGTTTCTGGTCAGAGGGTGGAACATCATACTGGGCAGTCTGCAGAGAGCTTTGGGATGCTTCCTCTCACTGTCCACTCCATCGTCCATCTACAGGGCCTGCTGGGCTGGCTCAGACGACGGCTGTTACATCTCTAAGACGTATTCAGAAATAGGAAATGAGGAGATGGTTCATGGATCCACTGGTATAACAACTGTGACTCTTCAGCAAATAAAACCACAGTGTTGTTTTTAATAGACTGTTAACAGTAGTGGTGGTCTGCTGGTACCTCCTGCAGGACAGAGCACCACTGACCTCCTCCATACACATCTTCCTCAGACTCATCCTCCAGACCCACAACTTCACCAGCACAAAGGCAGATGTGCAGCACAGTGCATGCTGACCTGTAATAGATTTAAAAAAGAGTTTTTTCTTATTTGAAAAATGTAAAACAAAACATATGACCTGCAGTGCACTGGTTCTGTTCAGTTTAAAGAAAAGCAGAAGGGAATAGTTAAATAAAAACTACAGAGAATTTACATTTTTAAGACAGATCTAATCATTATTAGGCTTAAGTTGAATAAACAAATGCACATTGAAAACACTTCAATGCTATTTTATTCAAAAGCCTGGTTTTTTAAAGCATTTTACCCTCATTTGATGCAAAAAAATAAGTTCTTAAGGTCCAATTTACATTAGAAAACATCCTACTGCATTCAACATTTATAATGCATTTGGTTTATATTAATTACCTGCATGATAATACTCTGTAGTAATGTGTTGTGTATGTTTAACAAGTTCATTCTGTAGCTTAAAACATACATGAAACCATCTAAAGTTAACATGTAAGTCCTGAAAGCTTCTAGAATAAACAAAGTTACTTTACCTGAAAACATTTGTGAACAAACGCTGCTGATGGACGTGAAGCTGCTGTAGCTCCTAAATATTCTTGCTCAATTATCGTTAGCTTTAGCATTTTTCCTTTGCGTGTAGCCTGTGACGGGACCTACGGGCCACCGTAGAGGTGAAGGCTAGACTGTTTGAATTCAGAGGTTCCGGTCATAGCGGTCTAGCAAGGACCCGGCCTTGCTAGACCGGCGAGGACCCGTACTCATAAGCATCCTGTCCGTGGATTCGGACACACCCTGAGTCTCGGGTCAACGCCATATTAGATGCCATGTTTCCTTCTACGGGAGCCCATGAGGACAAAATGTATTTGCTGATTTTTAACAAACTGTTACAAACTTTCTTCATTCATTAACGTTGTTTTACACATTTACCTCTTCGCTCGTTGCCACTGATGAAAGGAAGTCCGATGTGCTTACCATTTTGCTGAAGTGTGCACTCCCCAGGGCGATCCACAGCATGATTTGGTGTGATGGTGACACAGGATTTAAGTGTGTGCCCCGCAATCGGAAGGTTGCAGGTTTGAGCCCCGCTCAGTTTGTCGCTGGGAAAGACACTTAAACCCCCTTGCCTGCTGGTGGTGGTCGGAGGGACGGGTGGCGCCAGTACTTGTCATCCTCAACTCTGTCAGTGCACCCCAGGGCAGCTGTAGCTACATCGTAGCTCATCCTCACCAGCGTGTGAATGTGTGGGTGAATGACTGATTGTGTTGTAAACTGCCTCCATGACTCTAGAAGGCGCTATTTCAAATAAAGGCCATTTACCATTTTATTTGTTTTGAAAATGGACTGCAGTGCCCAAATCTGAACATATCATTCATACTTAATTCTTACATATTGCACCTTTAAATATGAGACATAAAAGACACCTTAAAAAATATTTGTTCAAACTATCAACAACCTGATCAGGATGGGTCCATCTTCATTTGTTCAGGTTTGCTGGATTTATTCAAGTTTTCTGAAAGTTAGTGTTTTTGTTGTATTTTTTTTACCATGAAAAAATAATAATAATAAGTCTGTTTTATAGGTTTTATAATATTAATAATAATGCACATTTTTGTCAAATTTATTTTGAGTCAGTGAAGAGTAAATATGTGAACGGTGATTTTCCAGCAACGCTCCCCCAGCTATTCCATCTGATTTCGATATAAGAACTTTAAACCTAAACTTGATTACTATTAAATCTCCAGTAAATATCCCATCTTTGTTTTCACACAGAAAAAACTGAGCTGAAAGAATGACGAAACACCAAAACATCAAAAATGATTGAAATGAGAGACAGAATTTATAAAGGAGCTGGTTTCTGTAGATGCAGACATAAATTTTTTCTTTTTACAAGTTTAAACCCAAATGGAAAAGTTAGATGTAACTGTTCTGCACTGAGCTGCAGTTTCAGGATCCATGGGTTTTGTCTGGGGGTTAACAGGGATTACAAACCTCGAGTGCCGTGCGAGGTGCCTCCAAGACAAATTAGAATGCACAATCACAATGTGGTGAAAGATGAGATCAAGATCGTGACTCGGTAACTGGATCTGATCCTTTGTGGGTTCTCTAGAGTCTTGGCGGGAGTCCTGGCCCTGCCCCAGGGCCAAGGTGAATATAACATGCACCCACATCACCAGCTTTCCACACTCTGAAATGTTTAATTTATATCAGCCGGAACATTCTGGAACATGCATTCATCACCCTGGATCCACACAGACAGATGGCCGCATAAATGGAGAAAAGCCACTCATAAGGATTTACATTTTCCACTGGTTTCAGTTTTATTCGATTTGCAACTCTCTCCAAAAGATTTTATTTTAAATTTATGCTTCAGGTTATAAATCTTTTTACAAAAATCATCTCCGGGCACAAACGTGTCAGCTGAGCTGTCAGTGTTTATTACTTCATGAACTGAACAGTCTTGGTTTAGTATAACTATTAACACAAAACTGAGATTTATTTACAGATCATTCATATTTTCAAGGCAAATTAGATTTCCTGGCACCTAAATGAATTAATAACTCAATTAATTGGTGAATTTCCTTTACAGTAGACACTAAGGTGCAAACTGTAAGTTCAGCAGTGCAAAACAAAGCTTTAGCCTGCTTCTCCAAACACACATGGAATGTTAACGGTTTAACTAAGTATGGTGTTCAACATGTTTTTATCAGAAGTGAGAAATCACTTCTGTGCAGTAATAATTCACTCTTCTTTGACATGTTCTCGATTTAACTACATGGTGATTCTATTTTCAGCACTTTGTTTCTCTGTATTTGTACACTTATTTAGCGTCGTTGTAAGACGATGGCGAATCACCAGACAGCAGTCCTACGGATGGTTGTGAGGCAGAGGCTGGGCCCACAGTCCAGACAGAGCTGGGACCATTGTGTATGTGTGTGCATCATAAATGAGCGTGCTCAGAGCTTTGATCGCTGTCATGACTGTCCCCGTTGGCTAAGGAGTCCGTTGAATGGTGGAGCGCTGCAATGCCAGAGAACTCTGAAGGTAATAATGTCCCCTTTTTGACATTCACCAACTCTTTCTCTCGAGCTGCGACTCCCTGCTGGCCACCTTTCACTCGTTTCCACTTCATCCTCCGGTTCTGGAACCACACCTTTACCTGTGAGGGGAAACAGACAGAAATGTCAACATTCTGTGTCTTGGCTGTTTGTATGAATTTGGATTGTGTGATCACTGAGCAGAGGTTTTGCAGCAGTCAGATCGCAATGTGGAGAAGCAGAAAGGAATTGGGGAAGTCAAGGTGACAGCTAAACCTTGAAATGACTCATTCCAGAGAGATTTTAAGCTTCAAACTCTACATGTTCTGTCTAGATGATTGCACAAACTCTGGGAATTACATCCTGGTGCAAAACAGCCTTCAAACAACAGCTTTAGTAAAAGTGAAACAATACGAATTTTTTGTAAACCTACAAAAAATCTGAATAAATTCATCCATCCATCTGATAAATCAATTAAGAGGAGTTGATTTTTATGAAACTGCTTCACACTTGGCTGCAACTGCTCCAGGGAGAGATGAGATCATGGTACGATGAAGCCAACAAGACCACATGCAAAAAGCAGAGATCCTCTGAGCACATTTGCACCTAAAAGTCTTGTCCATAAAAGCTATGAACAGAATTGGTGTTAAAGGGCAGCCTCGGTGGAGTCTAAATCCCACTGAAATTGAGTCTGACCGATCGCACAGGGACCTAATAGCTCGTATCAAGGGGTCTGGTACTCCATACTGCTGGAGTATCCCCTACAAGATTCCCATAGGGACACATTTAATTGCCTTCTCCATATCCACAAAACACACCAGACTGGTTGGGCAAACTCCCACGCACCCTCCAGGACCCCCTAAGGGTATAGAGCTCGTCCAGTGTTCCACACCCAGGACGAAAACCACATTGCTCCTCCTGAATCTGAGGTTCAATAATCCGATGGACCCTCATCTGCTCCCCAAAACCCCCGAATAGACCTTGCCAAGGAGGCTCAGGAATGTGATCCCCCTTTGGTTTTTTTTTAAATGGGGGACCACCACCACGGTCTGCTAATCCAACGAACCTTCTCCGATGTCCATGTAATGTTGCAGAGTTGCGTCAAACAACTCAGCTCCACAACATCCACAGCCCTAAGGATCTGGTTGGATCTCATCTACCCATGAGGCCCTGCCACTGAGGAACTTTTTGGCCACCTCAGTGACCTCGTATCCAGAGACTGGAGAGCTCTACCCAGAGTCCCCAGACTCCATTTCCTCACTGGAAGAATTGAGGAGGCCTTTGAAGTACTCTGCTCACCAGTCCACATTGTTGCAAGTCAAGGTCAGCAGTGTACTATCTAACCATAAAAAGTATGGGCCATGCTTTGCTTCTCCTTCCTGACACACCGAATGGTGAACCAGAATGGCCTCGAAGCCTTGCAGAAGTCTTGTTTTCCTGAATGGAATTCATTCCACTTGGACTGCTAGCACCTGTCAGCTGCCTTTGAAGTCCCACAGGCCAGAAAGACCCAATAGGACTCTTTCAGCTTGACAGCATCCATCACCATCAGTGTCCACCAGTGGGTTGGAAGGTTACCACTGTGACAGGCACAGGCAACCTTGCAGTCACAGCTCTAGCCAGTCTCTACAATGGAGGCACACAACATGGCCCACTTGATTTCAGTCTCCCCTGCCTCCCCTGGAACTTTGTCAGAGGTGGGAATTGAAGCTCCTTCTGGCAGGAGACTCCAACACAGGATGTCAGCAGACCCTCACATTACATTTGAGCCTGCCAAGTCCTCCCCCACCACCAAAGCCCACTCACCACAAGGTAGAGGTGAGTTGACAGCTCTGTCCCTCTCTTCATCTGAGTGTCCAAAATATGTGGCCACAGATCAGAAGAGACTACAACAAAGTTGATCACTGAGCTGCAGCCTAAGGAATCCTGATGCAAGAAAACATATGGATGGACTGGAACATTTATTCAGCCTGTGAATATCGCTATACGGGTGATGTGGGGGTGGGTGGCACCAGCCTGGAGCAGACCGGCTGTTCTGTGATTCTCCAGGGCCCCCATATGGCCAGTCCACCAATGAAAATAATCATCCTTATGCTTGAACATTGAGATCCACATCAAGGAAGCCAGTTTCTGTAGCCAAGGATCAGACCACCAAGGTCCTTGCCTCAGCTCAGTGGCCCAGTAGTAGAGTGTCCTCCCTAAGACTGGGAGATCAGGGTTCAATTCCTGGTCGGGTCATACTAAAGACCTTGAAAAAATGGGACCCAATGCCTCACTGCTTGACACTCAGCATTTAAGCGTTGGATTGGGGGGTTAAACCACCAACTGGTTCCCAAGCACAGCTGTGTCTGCAGCTCACCGCTTCCCCAGGGGATGGGTCAAATGCGGAGAACAAATTTTGCACACATATCAGTGTGTGTGTGACAACTAATGGGACTTTAACTTAACTTGACTTTAACTTTAACTTTGGCCACTGCCCGTCTCACACAGCACCTAAAACCTTTGTCCCCTTTCCACTTATTGAAGGGGGACACACATCTCCACTTTGGGGTCTGCATGGCCAGGCTCCATGGATAATAGTCCAGCCACTAGGCTTTCGCCAGTGTGCCCCACCTCAAGGCCTGGCTCCAGAGGCGAATCCAGGGGGGCTCATATCTGCACGAGGGAACAATGTTTCCATTGGTATCAGTCATTGTAAGGGGTTTTTGAGCTGCACTTTATCTAGTCCCTCACCTAGAACCTATTTGCCACCATGCATGGGTGACCCAGAGGTATAAAGCCCCTGACAACTAGGCTCCTGAGATCATTGGGATGCTTAAACCCCAATAAGGTGGCAGCTCAGCGAAGAGTAGTTGTATGACCTAAATCATCTAAACAATTCTGATTAAAAAGCATACTACCCCTACTGAGTGTTGTGTTGTAGCTTCTTATTTGTTCAGCAAAAGATAATCTAAACAAGTTCAAATAAATACAACCAGACATTATTTTTTAATTTTGAATTGATGAAATTCCTCAAATCAAAAGCACGTCTGAAAATCAAAAGGACATAAAACTCCTGTGTGACTCAAAGAATCAGATTTCAGTGGACACAGCTATCAAAGCAACACAAATGTTCAAAATAAAAAATGTCGCATGCAGAATGACAGAAAAATACTCACACAAGATTTGATAAGACTAGTGGGATGGTCTTGCACTTGATTTAGCAGAAACTTACTCTTAAATGTGCCTTAATTTTGCAGTTAAATAGCCTCAAATCCATGAAGTTCTCCCTGATTCTTCAAACTGAGACTGCTCAAAGTGAGGTCTACTGAAGTTAATACACAATTCAGAATTTTACCACATAGATCCTCCACAAAAAAACTCCATCTTTAAAGATAAAGTATTCCCCGCCCCCCCAAAAAAGAGCCTCTCTGCTGTGCAGGAACCTACTTTTAGAGCTGGGCAGTTATTCCTACAGCAGCATTTATGCGTGAATGTGCTGCCCCATCTGCCACTTGTCGTCTACCTGTTTTCCCTGACTCAACAACCTCTATCGAGTCTCTCAGACTGATGATTAAGCTGTTGCTTAAAACAGTTTACACGTCAAGGAGCAGCAGAGGCTTCCAGGGAGTTGACACATGAAGGAAGGTGGGGGGAGGCTGAGCTGGCCTCTGTCACACAGGGTGAGGTGAGTTTATTTTTGGGGAGTGTTATTCCGAGGGGACAGAGCGGTCACGTGATCAGGAAGTTCATTGACAGCACAAAGGTTGAGCGTACGCTTTGCTGAGCATTGCTACACTGAAGTGCTGTTCTCAAGGGAGACAGGTGATCTTCCACATGCTGTCTGAATTATATATTTTTTACTTTTGTGGTATCCCAGCAAAAACAAATTATGCAAAATTATGCAGAAGTGTTTACCTAAAGAGATTCTCACATTTTTGTTTACTGCTAACAGGTAATTCGGCCAGTTTAACACCCGAAAATCTACAAAAAACTCACTATATGTGTAAAAAAATTCTAAAAGAAATAAATATTAATTTAAAAGGATGAAATTCTAAATTAAAACTGCCATAAAGTGATTTTAAAGGTGGTGTTAAATGTCAGTACTACCTAATTTATGATTTAAAGCTACAATGGCAAACGTGCAAAACAAGCTAGCCTAAAACATTTTTTCATGCCACTTAGCAGTGTTATAATATGGCTGGAAAATTTTTGTGAAAACTAAAAAAACGAACAAAAAATTAAAATTATAAAGTGGTTTTCTCGCATTTGTCTAGAAACCTCAGCCAATAACTTGCCTCGGATCAAAACCAACGAGTGGACCATATGGTTCTCACCCACCGAACCGCTGCATTTCCTTGGGTCCTCCAATTAATAACGCACTCACACATCTAGCAACAGAACACCACTGTTGTGAGAGGTCCTCCGCTCAATAATATCAGAGAAGGAGAAACAGCCAGCTGCTGTTGCTTCAACTTTAGGGCAAACTACCAGAGTCTCAAAACGAATAACACCATTTGAAGTCACGGACAACAGAAGACATTTGGACCTAGAAAACTGTGACCGGTGTTTAGAACTGTCTCGTTCACTGTGACAATGCGGACGTGGACGTTAGCCGACACGAGGGGTGAGATTTGTGTGACTGCATTTGTGTTTAAAACCTTGTGTTGCAGATTTACCTTTGCAGCCTTAAACTTCAGTCTTGAGGAGATTGTTTTAAAATTGAAAATGCATTAAAAAAAGGTCACTCGTGCGCCTATTTCAACATTTACTTTTCAACCAACTTCTGTCAGGAAGTGTACGAGTTACATTCTAAGAATGCATCATATTTCATGCTCCCTTCTTTAAAATGGGCCAGATTTTCATCCTACAAACACATTAAACATCCATCAGACTTCTCCAAACATCTCACACTGCATAAATCAAGTCCCTAGGCCGGACCGTTTTTCTGCCAGTATTTACCTCACTACACAACTTCAGCTGCAAGAACTGAACCAAAAAAATCATATTTTAAAGCCACAGAATGATTAATTACACTAGTTGGGAAGCAGCCTGCATGAAGGTAAACTGTGTTTGGACCATGTTTGAGTTTCTGCATCTTTGTGAGTTGAACCAAAAGCTGAGCGTTACTTTTCTGATACATCAAACCTTTTTTTTATAGAGCTTTCTGAATAAGAATAAAGAATTGACTAAAAAGCTGCAGGTAGTTTTTATTCTCTGCAAAGTAGATTATTTCTCATATAAGTCAGGCCCTGTCCACACGTAGCCGGGGATCTGCCAAAACGTACATATTTTTCTACGTTTTGGCCTGTCATCCACACGAAAACGGATCTTTTTAAAAACTCCGGCCAAAGTGAAGATCTGCGTTTTCTCCGTTTTGGGTGTCTGCGTGTGGAGAGACAAAACCGGAGTTTTAAGGTCCGCAACGTCACTTTCCGCGACAAAAAATGCTGACATCACATGTGCGGCCTGTGTTTACACTAGCCGACAGCATGGATGCCCTCAGAGCTGCGCTCGCTTTATCAATTGTCCAAGTGCTTTTTGCTTGTTTGTTTTTGCAAGCGGAATTACTGCTCCTTGCGGAAGACCACAGACGAAGGATGAGGTTAAGAACGGGGAAGTACTGCCGCCTACAGGTCTGGCATGTCCTTAACAACGTATTTATCTGGGTACGTGTGGACAGAGTTTTTTTTTTAAACGAGGTGGTGTGGATGCAAGTTTTTGGAGGGGCGGATATTCGTTTAAAAAAAACCCAGCTACGTGTGGACTAGGCCTCAGTCTAAACTTTAGCTTATTGTTTAAAGGGATATTATGTAACTTTTTCATATTTTTAAATTATTTTCTTGAGCCAGTATGTGCTAAAATGACCCTTTACAGGGTTAATGAAAAGTCACTCAGAACCCACTGCTCTCTGTAGCTAGGGATGTGTAATGGTGACATTCTGGTGATGCAATACGTATCACGATACAGGGGAGATGATACGATACAATATATATTGCGATGCATTCAGCTAGACGATATTAGCGAATTTTTAAAACTGAATTTATGGTAGGAAAAATCAATAAACAGTCCGAACTGATACTTAACATGTTTAACATGAGGTATCGGAACCATAATAGAGGGAATTACATTTCAATGGGGAAAACAAAACCCATTGCACACTGATGCCAACTAGCAGTCGGTGTTTGAATTGCACCAAAAGAAAAGAAAATACACAAATGTTTGCATGTTAATTATTCCTAAATTTTGATACAAGGCTTTTAAATATCACAGGATGAAATATCACAATGTATTGCCATTTCGATATTTTCTTACATCCCTAGTGGCCAGGATACCACTCTTTCAACTTCAGAGTGGCAGGCCGCTCTCTTTTGGACTTAGTAAAGTGGAGCTGGCGCGCCTGGCACTGCAGTCTGCTTCCAGCATGTTTCCTGTATGTTTTAGATCATGAACACAGCTGATTTGTTTAATTTAGTGATGAACTGTTCTTGTAAGGCTGGTGAGACATTTCAGCTGTTAAATGAAGAGTTAAAAAGACAAACGCACAGCGAGGAGATAAGTTTTACTTTCGGTTTTTACTAACAAGCACTAGGGGGTGCTAAAAGCAAGCCAAAACTGTTTAGTTTCTCTTTAAACGCCTTCTTTGGAAATTGAAATAAGCTTCAGATTATTCAACAGTATACTGGATCATGTTTTAACTGCTTCAATCCCTGTGTGTCTTTATTTTTGTGATTGGGTGAATCAAAACGTTATAGCATTAGTAGATTTAGCGTTGTAAAAGCTGGCAGATTGTGGGAATCCTATAGGAAACATGTTTAAAATCCAAGAAAAGTGAGGTTTTTGGTTTCATCTATCCTAACTGTCACTGATCTTCCCTACAGGTTTTGTTTTGTTGGCTTCTTGGAAGACCGCACCATTCACAGACCCACTGTGCTGTGGGAGTTTATGTGATTCTGCTGCAATAAAGACTTTCTGTCTGTTCTTTTGTATATTGGTGCAGCTGTTGCAAACATTTCTGCTGCAGAACAATAGCTGGCAGTGGCATCTGTAAACCTAATCTTCAAAAAACAACCATAAAAAGTATTTCTGACTCAAAAGGCTTTTGAGCAAGCGTCTTGGCCTGTCTTTTTATATTGTTTTGCCTGAATGTGTGCGAGGTATCAAACTCTCAGGCAGCACCTGAAACTCCAGAAGCATTTCCAAACTCTTTGTCAATTCTCTATGGTACAAAAATCACTGGCGTGGTGTCAATTACTTTTGAGGTACGGCTTCCAAAGAGGTGTCATAGATCAACCAGCATTACGCTCCCCCCCCCCCCCCCCCCCACCTCCGTCCATTTGTCTCCTGTTATTTATTTCGTCTGCCTGCGTTTGAAAGCGAGCGTCCCACGCTTGGAGACCAATTTGTAGCTGCACAGGTCGCGTGAGAGAGGAAGTGGCCTGCTAGACAGCGCTTCCTCCGGCCCGTCTCCCTGTCGTGACTGCAGGCTGGCCCTGAAAGAATAGACAGGAACATCTGGAATATGATAGTCCTCTGACACCGCCACATCTGGAGCACAATAACCCCTCATAGCAAAGTTGCCAAAACACGGTAGCGAGTGAAAAGTCTCCTCAAAGTTCCGAGGGTGCTTCTGTTTTCCCAACATGGCCTTAATGTGGTAATGGAGGGTTCAGCTACGCCTAAACCCTGGGGGCGGGGGCAACCTGCAGCTCACGGGAACATACTTGTCTTTCAGTGAGGTCGAGGTTGACGGCGATCTCGTAGCGCCGTAGCCGGGTCAGGTAGTTGTGGTGGGCGAACTCAGCCTCCAGCTCTCGGATTTGCTCCTTGGTGAATGCTGTCCGCTCCTTCCTGGGCTTGCTGCTCACGTCTGGCTTGTAATTCCCGTCCTGGGACTCTGAAACCAAACACCACACAGGTTTCTGCTGTGCTCAGGGGCAGATTTATATGCAGCAAAAATAGAAGAATCAAATAAAAAACAAATGAAAAACACCAAGGCAAAGGCTTTGCGGCAGGTGCGGCTGCAAGGGTGAGAAAGAAACGGCAAAGTTAAGAGAAACAATCAGAGCTGTCAGTCACGTTTTATTGTTCAGTCGTTGTTTATGAATACTTTAAGTGGGTGGAAGGACTCATGGGCGGCAGCACATGTGTGTCTGACTGCAGCAGCTGTGTCGGGACAATACGCCGGCTTTTACACGACCAGCATGGATTTAATTTGTCTGAGTTTGAAAAGATATTTGCTGCTTTGACTTCACCAGACGGGGAGCAAAAGTCTCAGAAAAGCTGAAAAATCATCATTTTCTGTCCCTTCCAGCTATTTATCACTGAGTTCCCAAAGTCAGTAAATATATTGGCATCATAAAAGTTATATTTAGATGTGTGTGGAAAGGAAAACAATCCCAGACTAGAGAAAAAGGACTAAAGTCAAGACAAAAACAGATTGTACACTTGCAGGAGAGAAATAACAAATTCCTGCTTCATCACCATCAATCTACAACAATCCAGTTTTCCTCGTGTTTCCAGAACCCCTCCAAAGAAAACACATATGGTTAATTTGCCTTTCAAATGATTCCTGTTAAAAGCAGCTCTTGTGGGCTCTGCTGGACACAATTCAGATGCTCGTGGGACTTAAAGCAGCAACAATTGTACGGAAACTCATCTGTGGTCCCGTGAATTTTAACTCTGCCAGTCTGCGTCGAACAAAACTGTAAATAGTCCTGCAGCTCTGAGCCAGACACACGTAATGGAGGCCTGCTGGTTCTGTCTTATTGGGCCTGCCTATTCCAGAGCAGCAAAACAACGAGAAGAAGAGACCGAGCTGCTCTACAAAAGTTAGATTTAGAGCAGAAGGCAAGCAAACAGAAGCAGAAACTGCAGGAATTCACATATAAGGGGTAAGAAATGGAAAACGGCCTTTGTTGACCTGCAGCTTGTGTCTGGCTCACCTTTGACCTTGCCCCCCCCCCCCCTCCCCCCTGTATTTTTAAACCAAGTGGCTGACTGAATCACGTCCTCAGACCCACTCCCTCTGGTTCACGCAGACGTGTAAAAAAGAAATAAAAGTATAATGCAGCCAGTCGCTTCAGACCAGGCCTGGAGTTAAAAGGAGCGGCGAGCTTTTATGGCACCGCCGCTCCACCACAGCAATTAGGTCCTCGCCGAAACTTTCATCTCTCCACAAAAAAGGAGGAATAATTTAGGGAGAATACACCCAGACAGGGAGCGCCGCTCAGGGTTCTCTAATGAACTCAAGTTCAACAGGGACCCTCTTGAAAAAAATAAGAGCAAGTGAAAAGAAATATTTGCTTTTTTCAAGAGGTCCTTCACTCATATTTCTTAGTAGAAATGAACGCTTCGTAAGTCATACTCTGGGGAAAAAAAAGCTCCGGTGCGCCTGTTTCAGCATGGATGATTTAGCCAGAGGAGAAAGTAGCTTCAGACGTCAGGAATGACTCCCTTCGCTCTGCGACATGGATGTTTTATCGCCACTAATAACACAAGCTGTTTGGAGTTCTGCCATGTGGTGGAGTTGCTAATGCTAACAGTTAGCTTCTACAAGCTGAGACGTTCTCTGCTGTTTCCTGGATGCTAAACCTACAACAGCCGTCCCCGTGGCGATTCAAGATGGGTGAGTCTATGAACGTTAAATGACAGTGTGATGTCTACTTCTTCAGAGCGACTCTTAGTGCCAGCGAGAAGACTCTGGCACCTCACGCTTGCACTTTTTATAACAACACCTCATCCGAAAAAGCATCTTTTATTGTTTCTGTCAGAAAACTCTGAACTTTTTAAAGGACGACCACTCCCTCCGCAGCACTATCAACTCAGCAAAGACACCCTTTCCTCACAAGACCCACAAAAAACCCCAAACCCAAGCAGAAACCAGACTCCCTGACTCAGCTCATTAACTGAGCCTGCAGCCTGGCATCAGGAAACAGTCACAACCTGGTAGCAAAAGCAGAAAACTGATCCATATTGGAGGAGAAAGGAGGTAAAAACTGAACATGGAAATAAGTTCTCAGGTTTTGTTTTTATTTCTGTTGCTAAATTCAGGTTTCCTTCGAGCTCCTGGTCCAGATGCTGGAATCCAAGCCAGGCTCTATCTCATGCAGAAGGCAGCGAGCGGTCTGATATTTAGACAGCTGACTGAGTCAGCAGTGTCGTTAGCCTCCATAATCAGTATGATTGGTGTTGCTGTGGCGAGAACGCATAGCTCATCTGACGCAGCAGCAAAGGCAGGATTTCGGTTTTCCGGGGATTTCAAACGGAGAGAAGAAAAATTTTTTAAGCAGCGCATTGATGAAATATGCGATTGCAACATTTTCCATTTGGATAACTGGACGTTTAACTCGGAACAACTAAATAAATTAGGCTTCGTCATTTTGTTTTTATTGTGTTGCAATGATTTTTCCAATTTTCTTCCAATTCCATCACATCTGGACTGACTGTGGATTATAAATCAAATTATTTCCAGTCGTGTTTCGGGGCGGGGCTAATAAACCCAACAAAGGCTTATTCTAAAATAAAATTTACAAACATTTCTTTATAAACTGTTGGAATCAAAATTATAATCCCATATGAGAAAATCTGAGATGTGACAACAGAGGCCTTTAAAAGGATGCAAGATCGGCGCTGAAGCTCTGCCATCCACAAAAGGACTGAGGGAACGGCGAGCACACGTTTCCTTGAAACTCTCAGCGATATCAGCTTCCCTGCCAGGACTCCCGTGACCTAAACCCAGACGTTTGTCAGGCAGTGATTGATTATTTCGGTGGGTGTCTGCAGGTCATCCAGCAGGTGATCTCAGTCGGCACACATTTAGTCAAATCTGCTTTTGTGGTATTTGTGTGATTCTTTGGTTCAGCTTGATTCAAACGTAATTTAGGGTTAGGGTTTTGAGGGGACACGGGCTAAAGTTGTTAAATTAAACTCAAAAGCAGCGCTACAAAGCAGATCATTTTTTAAGTTAAACTATATTTGTTGGTAAATTAGTAAAACATTTGATCACTGTTTTAATTATTAAAATAATAACATGCTGTTTGAGATTTTTCTTTCCAGTGTGCTCATTTATTTAAAAGTTTGCCTTCTTAGATCATCGTGACTCCTTATGTTTCCCGCTTCGTTCCAGTGATTTATTTTCACCACAAGATTCAGAAAGAAGAAAAGACCTGACATGTTTGCCTCAGTGAGGCGTTAAGTGCAGCACGAGGCGCCGGTGTTGCCTTTTACAATCCATGACATCAATTCTTAACTCTGCACCTTGTTTTCTGCCCTCTGAAGAGCGTCGCAACAAACCAGATGTTAGTTTTACACAAAGCGTGCCAGCAGTCAGATGTGCCCGTGCAGTCGCGGCGTGGCCTTTGCTCAGCGCCGCCGTACGCCTGCAGCGTCGCTGCGTGTCAGCCGACGCCTACAAACTGATTTTTGGTTTTTCTATCACAGCTGCGGATTTCCCAGAATCCCGCCAACTTGTACAGATGTTTGTGGTCATTTTTAAAAACGCTGATTCACTTTTAGTCTGCGTGTGGGCGGTCTTGTGAAATAATAGAATTAAACTCCCTCTCTAGGATCATCTCATCTCTTCTTACCTGAACTGTCACTTTTCCTCTTGTTGCTCCTCTTCTCAGCCTCGGCAGGTGACAGAGTCTGTCTGCCAAAGTCTGAGGGTACGCAGGAGGCCCCCGTGGGGGTACTGTCATTGCCCAGCGTCGGGGTGCTGGCGCACATACTGGGTGCCCCGGGGTGGCCCAGGTCCGGAGGTGTGGGAACATTCTCGTGGGACGAGAGGGAATGCGGGTGGCAGAGGCCGTGACGCACACTGCCGCCGCCAGGTGACGGCATCTGTGGGATGTGCCAAGATGCGTGATGCTGAGGTTGTTGGTGATGCTGCTGGGAAGGCAGGTGACTCCGGTGGTGGTGGTGGTGGTGGTGGTGGGTAAACAGGCCATCATCAGTCGAGTAGCTGGAGATGACACAGGGCGAAGGTGAAGATGTGGAGGAGGAGGAGGATGAAGAGGCCAGGTCGGGGTAGGTGATGTGATCTGAGCGTCCATGAAGAGTCAGGGGGGACTGGGTGAAGGCAGGATGCAGGGCCTGACCCGGGACATGGGGGCTCCGCAGGCATCCGAACAGCGTGTGATCCATGGGGTGAGGAGACCTCCAGTACAGGTGAGACGAGCAGGTAACGGGGATGAAGTTACTAAATCACCAGGAAACAAAGAAAGATCACACGCACATATCCAAGAGACTTTCCCAAAACCTTGTCTGTGTTCCCCTTAAAGCACAGTAATCAAAAAGTCAGCGTGGAGAGCAAAAAGTGCTCTGAGACTGGTGTCCTGTGGTAATCCAGAGCATGCGTCTGCCTGGCAGGCTGTGCAGGATAAACAGTTAGCCCAGGACAAGCTGCTGCACCTCTTCTCAGATGTCAGGAGGAACACAAGACTGAGGCTCGAGGCTAGAAGCGCAGGAGGTTCCTAGGAACTGCAGAACGAGGGGAGCCAGCAAAGGGGATGTTATAAATAGGGTGTAACGTGAGAGGGAGGCTGGGTCATAGACTGCATACGCGCTACTGACCACATATATATGATCACCCTCCTAAAAGCACAGCATAATAAATCTACACTATTAAAATGGCTGAGCCTAATTTTGGACTTGACCTGTGGTGCCCATCTTCCCTTTCTTTTTGATTTTTACGTGTTAAAAACGACGTGAATGTCTCACGGGTGTGGCTGGAAGAAGGGGATGTGGAGTCAGGGGAAGTGGAGAGATGTCAAAGGTTAACTCAGCACGTCACGGCATCGCTAAACAAATACCGCCACAGCCGGGAGCCACGGTGATGCTCTCCGGCTTCCTGTCACCTATTGAGTAATTTTTTTGTGTAAACAAATAATTCACACTTTGTTATTATTTTATTTAGCGGCTAAAATAAATAATGAATCAACTGATACACAAATACAGATTCAAATGTGGATTTTTTTTTTTTAGATTACTGAACCCTGTGGACGTCACAACCCGCCTTTACGCTGTTTTACTTTTAAAAGAGAAGGTGGATCATTGTATTCCAGTAGTTTTTTAACCACATACCCATATGTGTGGGGTTTTCAATCTGGTTTAATCCAGCCCTTAAAGACGATTCATGATATTCTAATTGTTGTTGACTCTGGTGTCGGAGCTGTTTATCACACCATCTCACAGCTGCACTCGATCCAGCAGGTCATGACTTTTTATCCCTCGTCTTGAGAACGTTCAAGGAACCTTTTTAATAAGTTAGCCTCTTATCTGAGCGAAGGATCCTTTTCTGTATACATCAGAGATTTTTCTTATAAATCAGCTTCTTTAACCTGTGGTGTCCCTCAGGGTTCTTTAGTAAGACCCCTTGCTTTTTATCCATCCAACCTCTGAAGCAGTTTTTTATGTTGATGTCACTAAATGTTTATTTACAACTCTTTTTTTTTTTTACCTTAGTAAGAATTTTATTTGCATGAATCAGGTTTGTTTTAATCCTAATAAAAGAGAAATTCTGCAC